CCCCCTCTCCCCCCGATCCTCCGATCCGTCCCTATCATTTGCTTCAGTTAGATAATGTGGGCGAATAAAAATATGTAGATAATATACACGTTCACATTATAATAACTGAAGGCCGATTCCCGGATAGATATACGCCAGGGCCAACCAACCACTCCATCCCTTCGGGGTTGGTTGATTGGTACCCGACTCGTATAGGAGGATAAAAGCGCTGATTTGTACACAGGCTGGCTACCGTCCTTGTCTTCAATACAACACTACGATTCTGAAGGGAAGTCGTGTGCGAGGCATCTCCATCAGATGGGATTGATCAACGCCCAAAGACTCTACCCTTATGAACCACCAAAACGTTTCAGTTCTTCAACAAATTTGTGATGCTCTTAAATTCATTATTGCCAATTGCAAAAGTAGATTGCCATTCGCTAAAAACAAAACAAATGTGGTAACATTGAGCCTCGAAACCTTATCATCGAGTTCCTCGGTGGAGTTTATCATCGGGATTTACATCGCCATTGAACGATCTCCATACCTTGTTATTGTCATCGTTTGAGACGATTTTTAAGTTGGGAAAGCTGTCCAATAAGTCTCAGCAAACAAGAAATTTACCTTCAGGGAATCGCAGATGAAATTGGCGTCGATCTTGGCAAGTTGGCATTTCTCAATATCTTCTATGAGCTGTCACGCTTCTGCACATCCATTGTTGCACAGCCACCCGGCAACAGGGACATGTACCATGCGAGGTAACTTCTGAAAAACAAATTACTGATTTACACTTATAAGGTTCATGCAAAAGCCCAAAAACCTCAGCGCACAAGAAAGACCTACAGGAGCTAACTACGTGAGAAGTGCTAATGACTAAATGTTTTAGGAACCTCGACTTTGGTCAGTTCTTTGTATGGAATATCGCTGCTCAGTCTTGGGACCTCACTGAATCTCTCAAAAAAGTCACAATGAATCTGAACTTTGTTCGTAACGGTACCTTATTATTCAAAGGCACAACCCTAGCTGGGCACGTCGGTATACTTACAGGTATGTGGTTCATTAGTCGCACAAGTTTGCACCCAGGTAAGCATAGAGCACACCAGGAATGAAACCCAACGCTTTCTCGCTCTCGATGAACGCTAAAGTGGAACCGGACATCGGGAACATCATTCAGTGGCTCAACGGAAATCGTTCCAACATCGAATTCGCCATGTACTTCGACAGAAAACTCTTCGAGGAGGCAAACACCTTCCAAGTAAGCTTGGAACCAATCCACCGTTAACTCTGTGAAACTGAATCCAGTATAATGCAAGGATAAGCGAAAAATTTGAACAAAGAACCACAGAGCAATCAGCACCTGTAGGAATAGCTTAAGGGTGAATCACCGCCGTCATTCCTGAAGCATTAGATCGTTTGGAAGGCAACTGCCTAAAATTTCGCAACAGCATGTTTTCTGGACTGTTCTAGAAGTTCTCTCAGAATTGCCGTCTAGGGACACCACCCATTTGTATGCACATAAGATCTGAAGCTTTTATGATATTGAGTCTGGTTGACCGAATCGAGATTCATCTTTGAACATCTTGTGTGGCAAAGACCAGTCCTCAAAATTGATCAGAAGATCTTAAAGGTTATATCCTTGAGACAAGTTTCTATATGATAAAGCAGCGGAATGACCGTATCGAACTCGTGGAGAAGTACGAGTCAAACATGGGAAGACAGTTTGACTATCACGGGGAATAAATAAGCGAGGATTAGGGTGTCGGATATGTTATTCTTATAAAAGTTGGTGGTATCCACGAACAGCATCATAGAAAATTCGCAGGTTATTCGAGGAAATAATAGGATCATTGCAAAATGCCCGTCAGATACTTTCCGAACGGCCTAATGCTTCAGCAACAAGGCCGGATTTATATTCGTTTCTGTAAGCGACGAAAAAGGTGACTGACAAGTGGCCTCTAACTTTGTACAGAACCACACAAAGTACTGTTGTTATTAAATTCAGGAGGCTCAACAATTCATCTACAATGTTCAGCTTCTTTCGGGAGCCTATTTTATCCTGGGAGGCAACAAACCAGGTAACTAAACATCTTTTTCTGTCACATGAAATGGTGGAAACACCGGCAGTTCTGTCGTGAACCT